AGTTTGGAATTGTAATTGGCATTACAACTGTTGCACATTACTGTAAAATCAGTGCAGTGAGAGTGACTGTGAGCACGCACACACAGAGAGCGAGACATCAATAATACAAAGGATTGCTGCAGCTTTTGGATTTTCACTCTTTGTTGGATTTACAGTTTTTTCTGATGGCTTGAGCACATTTTTTGTAACTATTGGCTATTTTTGCAAAACTCTACACACAAATAAGTAAACTCTTCACCCAATCAGCAAAACATAGTTTCCTTGTAAAAGCGAACAACCCTTGCTTATCTCTCCACACCTTTGTAAAAATGGTATTTTTGTATCCAACAGTTAACACAAGCCATCATATTACAGTTTTTTACAGACGCTAGGACACATTTCTCAATACTTCCAGTTTTTTTCTGATTGCTTACAGTTTTTCTCAAATGCTAAAACACAAAAGCCAATCCTGTAACCCAAATGACCAGTAGTCTAAACACATTTACTAAATGTAGCCACCATATTCCAGTGCCATAAACACATGTCACATGAAGACACAAGTCACAAAACACAACCCTCTGTACTCATAAATCTAAACACATTTTTCCTTGCTAAAACACATGTTGCAAAACAACTCTGCTCATATTCTCAAATGAAAGCCCATGTGATGCAAAATGCTTGCCACAGTCACCAATCTTTGAACACAGGGAACACACCTGGCGTCAGTCACTACACACAATGACTCAAAATTGAAGACACTTGTTGCTAATGCTGTACCCACATGTAAAAGCAAGTTCAGAGTGCACAGTATGCTGAAGATTCCAAACAAACACAATGGATGAAGGCAGAGTCAGGGGAAGAGGAATTTGATGCAGAGGAGGGAGAAGAGCTGGCCCTGGAAGAAGAGGAGCAGGCCAATGAGGAAGAGGAGTTCAAATGAGAGGAGGAAGAGGAGCGACCAACGAGGAAGAGGAGAAGGCCAACATGGGAGAGGAGAAGGTCCAGGAGGGAGAGCAAGACAACCTCGCACCATCATTACAGATGAGATGCGAGCAACAGCTCAGCGACATGATGCCGCACAGTGATTGTGGTGTGTGTGTGGTGTGAATAACGTAAATAAAAAAACTTCACACCCTGTTCATGTTTTCAAGGTTACTGTTGTGTGCAATAGATTCTGTTTTTGCATTGAGTTGTGTTACAGTAGTGTACGTACATGCAGGATTTTCCATAGATTTATACTACTCATATGAAACTCACAAATCTAAATGCCTAATCCTCTGCAGAGATCTACGACGATCCGTTACTGTATAGTTTCTAAAATATGCATTGGCAGTTATGGAACAAAGAACCTTCTCACAAATTGAGCATTGTGTTTTCAATTGTTTTGCTGTAGTGTGTAATGCTGTGTATAGTGTTTACAGTTTTGACAGCTTCGAGCTGCTCTCTTGGTGTGGGAGTTTGAGTTTTGCAGTGGGAAGGTGTGGTTGTGTTTATGTAGCTTTAGAGAAGGGTGTTGTGTTTGGACATTGGGGGACCTGGTGGTAACGTCTGTGACATGTGTTTTAGCATTTGGAAAAACTGTAAGCACATTTTTTGTAACTATTGGCTAATTTTGCAAAACTCTTCACACAAATAAGAAAACCTGTCACCCAATCATCAAAACATTGTAGTTCTCTTGCAAAAGCAAACACAGCTAGATTAACTCTTCACACCTTCGTAAAAATGGTGTTTCCGTATCAAACAGTACACACAAGCCATCATCTACTAAGCACACAATGCGCCAACTGCACACTGATGGTATGAATACAAAACACATCTGGCTTTTGCTTTCTCTGTGCACAAGGTAGGCTATGTCAGTGTGAGCTCATACTTCTGTCATAGATCCATAAGCATAGAGGGATCCAAACTTCAAGTACTGGTGTTTATTCACACACATCAAAACAAACACAAGTGTTTATTTCCAAGTATAGGATTATTTGCAATCGCCATAATGACTATATGGGTTACTTGGTCTGCAGTGAACATGCTTCCTCTGCCCCAGCATCTGGTCATCTAGCAATTCTGTAAAGTAACAATTTCAGTATTTTTACATCAATGGTATTGGTGTGTTTCTCATTGGCATATGGCAGTGCTACAGATCTTAGTGCGAAGTGACTGTACTCACCGATTCTCATTTCAAGATGTCCTTATGGTGCTTGCTACAGTGTAGCGGCTCGAGTTAGGCTGGACCCGTTGGCCAGCTACCCTCAGGGTCATTCCACGGTTGATGACATGGTCCACTATTGTAGCTCTGATGTCATCAGCAATTCTATTTCTTACTCTTCTTACCCTTCCTCTCCGCCCTCCTCATCTTCCTCTCCCCCCTCCTCATCTTCCTCTTGCTCCTCCTTGTCCTTGTCGTCCTCTTCATCCTACTTCTTCACCTCCACGTCCTCTTCCTCGGCCTCCTCTACTTCTCACTCTTTCTGCTCCCTCCATTGTACTCCGCACACACAGCTTACCTGTATTATAGTGCTTAGGCTGATTGCAAAGTGAACTAATTATCTAAAAAAGTTTTCACATGTGAAAGTGTGCCAGACAGTTGGCAAATTAGTGTTAATGATAGCCATACATGTGTATACTTTTGCTAGGAGTGTGTTGGAAATTTGGTAATTGAGTGTTGTGCAGTGAATTGTGCCTAAAGTTTTGCAAAGTGTGTGTTACAAAATTGCAAACTGAGTGCAAAGCAGTTTTTGTGCTTTTAGTTTTGCAAACTCAGTGAGTGGTTTTGCTATAAGTCTGAATAGTTTTAGAGATTGTGCTACAGGAATCACAGTTAGGGTTTAAGCATTCACAAAAAACTGTAGGTCACTTTTGCAAAACTCCTCACACAGTGAGCACAACAGAAGTCTATGTGGGCTAAACTGAGGACCAGTTATCATTGTTTTGGCACAAAATGCATTCAATGACTACATCTCTCAAATTTCATGAATTATCTTCTCACTCAGACACAACAACTGCCAAAAATCTTTGTACGTACAGGACATTTTGCATGTGCTTACATACTGTTTTCAAAAATGTTAAACTTATGGCCAAAACAATAACACAATGCAAAACTTGAAAAGAGCAAAATCCAACAGCAATATTTTATTGAAACATATTTTAAATCTAAAAATGCAGTTTAACCAGTCACAGCTGATTCTCATTGTAGATGAACATCTACACAGGTGTTACTCCTTCAATTTTTCAACTCCTTCAATTCTGGCAGCCAGAAGATTCTTTCCTAGGTGTGTTGCCCATAGATGACATAAGATGTGATGTGGATGAGAACCTGTGGCCAAATGGAGGAGACCGAGTAGATTAGCATTACTATTGTATGTGTATCAGTGGATGGTGTGTATACAAATTCTTGTATTTTGGGATTACTTAGTGCAAAAACATAAAAATACATAAACAAATATTAACGAATTCTGCATGATGTCTGATTCATTCCAGTAACATATATTGAAATTATAAACAGAGATGTGTCCTTGTTTTACACAAGAAAACACTGTAATGCTACATGTTGTTAGTGTTTTTAGGTCATTGTTTTGTGGGTGACAAAGTGTGTTTGTCGGCTGTCAACCTTTGCTAGTGTTCTGGAAGAATGAGTTTATTTGAGACCTGAATGAAGTGTTTTGGTAGTTGTAGTGCATTTTGAATGTGAAATGAACTGCTTTGCCAAGCTGACGGTCAGTTAGGAGGATTGTGTGAAGAGTTTTGCAAAAGTGACCTAAGTATTGAGACATGTGTCCTAGCTTACCTGTATTATAGTGCTTAGGCTGATTGCAAAGTGAACTAATTATCTAAAAAAGTTTTCACATGTGACAGTGTGCCAGACAGTTGGCAAATGAGTGTAAATAATGGCCGTAAATGTGTATAGTTTTGCTAGGAGTGCGTTGATCATTTGGAAATTGAGTGTAAAGCAGTGAGTTGTGTTTACAGTTCTGCAAAGAGAGTGCTGTGCAGTGGATTGTAGCTACAGGTTTGCAAAGTGTGCGCTACAAAATGGCAAACTGAGTGCAAAGCAGTGTTTCTGCTTTTAGTTTTGCAAACTCAGTGAGTGGTTTTGCTATAAGTATTAATAGTTTTAGAAATTGTGCTGTAAGAATCACAGTTAGGGTTTAAGCATTCAGAAAAAACTGTAACATACAGTTGAAAGGCCTGCATTTGTGTGCATTGGTGCATGCTGAGGTTTTCTTTTGTTCAGCATGGTTATACCATTGTGAATTTTGCTATATAAATATGCTTCAGAGTCTTTCATATGTTTGACATCCAACTAAAAAATTTGAAAATATATAAATGTTTTAAATCAGTAACATTGCATATCTGGAGGAAATGTTTTTGTTTTTTAACAACAAATGAGTCACGTTTTAAACACACTTTAAATAACCAGCACTGGCAGTCAGACATTGATGAAGCGCTGCCTGTAACAGACGTGGTTTCCGTGTGAAAGGACCGCGGATGTGTTGGTGCAGAGACACACGCTGTATTGTTGCTATTCTCTTTTGCATAATCAACGCCTAACTGCCAGAAATGCTCTCATTTCACAAGTTGGCATACGTTTTGCCAGAAAGACGGTAAGACTACACAGTTAAAAACTGTAAAAATGCTGAATTAAGAAGAAAAAAAAAAGATTTACACTGTTTCACCAAGTTAAAAACAAATCCAGCAAAGCTGCTTCTAACACACACTTTTATATTTCAGATCAGTGTCTAAAAAAGCACCATTAAATTAATTTGATGTTGTCTGCAGGTTACTGAGAAGTTGTTCTGAACCTGTCTCCTGGAATACGATATAATAGTGCGGGTTTTAATAGAAAATGTTTTATCTCGGTTGTCTAACAAGATCCTTACTCTGGTTGGCATTGCCTTGAGCCGACTGCTGTAGTGATTTGGCGCATTATAACTAAAATTGAAGCACACAACGGCAACATTTATTTATATACAAAAAGAAAAATGCTTTTTTACATAAAAGAATTCTTACTTCACAATTCATCACCATACTGAAACCGATTTTGTGGATACATAGTGTAAGTCCTCATCTTTAACCCATAGTGATTTGGGTAATTTCTCAGGGACTTGGAAGGGTGGCCATGCCCAGTCTACCTCATCGATGTTGGGGGAGTCGTCAAAATACAAAAAATCTTCCTCATCGTCGGTGTCCATAGTCCAGAGTTGTGGTGATGAGGAGGGTGCGCTCCACTTTGACAATATGGTGCATCTTCAGTCCAATCTTCAAATGTAGGGTTCGTGGACAGACCTTCAGAGACTGAAGTTTGGCCAGCATCCCTTTCACAGTCTTTCTGTTGTGGTGCTGCTTGTACCCAGTTCTGCCAATTTGATGGCTGTTTGAGCAGAAGGGCTACGAGATGTCATCGTTTGCTGGCCCATTCTCACGTGCTCCTACAAATCAGGCTTTTGTTTTAGAAAAGAAAACAGATTGAATATCCTATGATATACATTTAAAAATTACAATAATAGTCTTGCTTTACTTACCATTTATGAAGTCCATGTTAAAAAAAGAACGATGTTGGCCTCGCTGACCGACCGACCAAAATGCTGTAATCGCGAGGGCAGTTATTGTTGTGATATTTTGATACCATGGTAGCATTTACAGGATATTGCTTTATAGTGATATTATACAGGAAAACTGTTACTCAATAAGGCCCATTTACTAGTTGTTTTTCTCTTTCTCTGTGACCCAAGAATTAATGTGTAAGAATCACAGGCTGGTACCAAGGTCGAAAATACCACAGCGATCACTTCCTTACTCCCATCTTCCCTTCTTTATCTCTTAGAAAAAGGCTTGTTAAAGGCCAGGTGGTTTGTTTCAGAATTCACTAATGAAAGAACTCTGTATTCTATGTCTAGGAGTGTATTTCGCTGGGATGATCATAAATTGTAGCTGAACTGATAAACTATACAAAGGATACTTCTTTGCTCAGAGGGCAGGAAGACGCTTCCTTATTTGGTCTGTATCGGTTTGAACTGTTGTATGATGAATAAACCTTTGAGTTGATTTTGGGAAAGCAACCTGAACAGTCTCTGTGTCACTTTGTTCTCCTAACTACTCCCGACGTCGTAACTAACCTGCTGAACGGCATACCTGTGTCATGGTTCGGCTGTGTGGCAGGCAGGAGAGGACCCAAACGCAAACTCATGGAGACAAAAACGTAAACTCAAAACACAGCTTTAATGCTGGCATAAAGTGAAACACAAAAAACAGTACTAAACTTAAACTGGGGAGACTAAAGTACAAGGAGCCACAGGGAAAAAATCACACAGCTATGATGGAGAACGCGACGCCGAACAGAGGGAGACGCAGACAGAAATACACAGAGGGTTAACGAGGAAAGTGGGAACACACGGGGAACACAGCTGACACAGATAACCATAACGAGACAGGGCGGGGTGAACATAACACTGACGGGAGACGGGCAGAGTCAAACAGGAAGTACAGAGGTTCAGACAGGAGGAGAGAGCACGGGGAGAACACAGTCATAACGGGCTGGGGAAACATGGAATAAAACATAAGGAGAGACGAGGGCTCACAGATACACAGAGGGGCACACAGGGGGTAAAAGCCACGAAGGGAAAACACTTAGGGAACAACACAACAGGGCAACTCAGGAAACATGGCCTAAATAGGGAACAAAATACAAACATACAAGAAAACTAAGAATACTGGGCCAACATGGCCCAGGACCATGACAACCTGAGTGTTACTTTGAATAATTTTGAATCTTATAGGGTAAAGACAAAAACTCTGCTTATAGGTGCCCACGCCTCGGAGGAAAACCCGATCCACGGATGACCCGGGACGGAGATTTCTTTCAGTTATGAAGTAGGAAAATGCCGTGTGTCTGATGGGGTGTTTTTATATAGGTGGGTATAAACGACCAGGTGCAAATTCATGCTTTCCAGCATACTTTATTGACTCACACGGTTGCTGTTCGCAATGCTCACAGAGCTGCAGCTCTCCCGCTGCCCGCTCAACATTATCACCACAACAACCCAACCACAGGACCCAGTACAATATTTAATTCGGCGGGGCGTGATTGCGGTGCCGTGTAGGTGCGTCCGCCTCCTCTGCACGGCACCGCAGGCCACGCCCTGCCACAGTGGGCTTGGTTTCAGTTGCCCTCTGACATGCAGAGATAAAGAGCAGGTTGTAAAGAAAAGGTGTAAACTACAGAGGTGCAGTTGGGGAGTGTACCTTTCTTTGTGAACGTTAGGGTGTGTGTCCTCAGATGCTCTTGATAAGGAAACAGCATGTATTCTTTTTATGACTTGTTTTGATGACTGTTGTGGACCCACCTGTAACCCATGTGTCTAATCATTGAGTCTTATTGTTGCAGTATGTTTGTGTGACTAGTAGATAAGTATAGGGCTTTGGAGTTGACGTCACGCCGCAATGCATTGTGGGAGCGCGGCACCATTTTCGGGGTCTACGAATCAAAACAAACACACTGTGTTGGATCGACGATTACAAGATGCTTAAAAGCAGCTCAAAAGAGAATGGACTGTATAGAGACCGATTGCGTCCAGAGGCGAAGCAGCTGTACTTGCAGAAAATAGCCTGCATTGGAAATGTGGACCCGTATGAAATACGGCCGTGGAGTAAAAACCCTGGAGACCAACCGCTATTGACGTAGCCTGACATATTCTCGTACCTTATCTGTGGAGTCAGCGCGTACAAGTCGTCATTCAAACAAAGGTAAGTCAGCTCGAGTACTGCGAGTGAAATGCGTTTGATTTCCATCCGAACATTCACATTAGTGCAGCATAAATTCATTCATACATTTTATTTTAATTTTATACATTGATTAATGACCTGCAGAATCTCCTTATCATATTAAGTGGTTCATAATTGTCACTTTATGCTTTCTCCATCTCTACAGTGATGACATCCTTGCATTACATACTTTAGGTTCATTTTCTGCAGGCAGGTTTCTGACAGAGAACAGGCAGGTTTACACTATAACCTGCAGCGATGGACACATAAAGAAATGAAAAATGACATGTATGTGCTAACTTTCTAAACACTTTGTTACATTTATGATAAAGTAGATTAAACACATTTGTGTCGGCCTTGGCTCATAGTTCTTGTCTTTAAATGAACTTTGTCTGTGTGTGTTTCAGGTCCTGCACTCTCAAAGACTGAATGAACCAGCATTGCAGCCATGGGTCACTGTGAGCATCACAGGGAAGGTTGAAGCCGCCCGCTGCACCTGCAAGGCCGGAGTCGCGGAGACCTGCACCCACGTCGCTGCTCTTCTGTTTAAAGTAGAAGCAACAGTGTTGATCTGTGGCACAAGGACTGTTACAGATGAACCTGCATACTGGGTTTTGCTGGGTAATGTGACCAAGATACAGCCAGAGGTTGGCCATAAGATAGACTTCTCCTCTTCAGCTGCCCGAAAAAAAGGCTCTTGATCAAAACATTCACAGACCATCTGTAGTGACAGGTAAAAGGAGCCGTCCTCAAAAAAGAAAAACCCCACCTGCTGCTGTGGAGGAGTCGTCACTGCTATAATGCCATCATGTTTTATCTAGGGGTCTAGATTTATGCCTGTAGTGCACTGCCGTGTAAATAATTTGCATTTACTGAATATGTACTGACTGAGTCCCGCTGTTCAAAAGTTGAATAAAGAAACAAACTAATTTTTGCCTCTTTTTTTAAAATTAAAACCACTTCATAGAACATCACATCAGTTACAATGATGATGTCATTTATAGTTTACAAATGACAGAATGTTTACACAAAATCATGACAGTGTTTACATGACATCACCCACTACTAACTTTATTTACTGTGTCTTTTGAAAAAATACAGCTATTTATACAGCAAAAGACTAAAGAACATTTAACAGGAGCAGGTTTCATTTTCCCTGGTTTTATTATCACACTGTTCACCAAACGCAGCAAACCTTCACCATCTTATCCAGAAGGGTCACCTCTTCACCCTCACATGGAAGAAGTAATCTGATTGGCATGGTGGTATGTTTGAAGCAGGTCCCTCGTGTAGCGCTGGAACTCAGTCACGATGTTTCATCCATTTCATGGGCTGGTTTGCTGCAATAATGCCAAATAATTAGCATCTCTATAGATAGAAGGTAGTTCTGCAAAATCACTCAGTAGGATGTTTGTTCTAATTTGCTATGAGCTCAGAGCGCATAGAAAATAAAACTAATAGGCTATAAAGATATGAACATATTTAGAACTTACCGGAATGAAAATGTCCGGAGCACCAACAGATATTTGGAGATGGAAGAGAACTGGATATCAGCTCGTCTCACAGCTGCTATCCAGGCTGGACGCCTTCGTTTGGTAACATCGATACACGAGCTGCCTCATGTTGCTTCCAGGTTGGGGAAGAATGAAAAGACAAACCCTTTTCAAGCTTATTCTCTTGCCGGTCGTGCGATCGAACATTGCAGCGGACCACACAGCAAGAACGAACCATGGCTATGCTTTCGCTCCTTTTTCACTTAGACCCCCAAAATGGCGGATCGGGCCAAAATTCTTTCCACGCCCACCCCCGTGACATCACGCTCCAAAGCCGGAGAGGGTGTGTAAAACGCGCAAACAGCTGCTCGGTTAAAATACAAAAACAATGAACACTTAATATGCTCTCCTGGCATCAGACTCTGAGTAGTAAAAGAACAAGGTCAGAATCAGAGGACTCGCTGGCTGACACCCCACCAAGCCAGAATGATATCGCTGCAGGTCAGACGCAAGCTAATGAAAGCTGCACTAGTGCCGCAGCCGCGGACGACGGCACTTTTTGCGACGACGAGGACGAGAATGACACCATTTCTACCGACGACAACAGCCGCGTTAGCGAGCATGAGTGGCCAGAATGTTGGTCCCAAGCACAAGTCCGGTATTTCTCCACAAATTACAAGTGGCTGATCAGCAGAAATCAAAAGTTGGGTTGTAGTGTGTGTAGTCAAGTTTGTGCTCGCGTGGACATGCAGCAAGGGCAGAGAGTGTCGCAGGAGTGGAGTGGGTGCTTAATGTCGTCTTTTGGAAGGGACAAGGCTGCACAACAAAACTCACTACAAAAGAAAATAAAAGAGCACAGAGACTCAATTTATCACAAGAAAGCAGTTGAAATAAAAGAGAAGGCAACACAAAATACAATGCAAAAACACACTGAAGATATGAGAAAGGCTGACTACGCTTCAACACTTCCAAGATCCAAGATGGCGGCGCGTGAACAACGCGAGGCTCAGTGTCTCTCCATAATCTGCTATTTAGCGGTTTTTTATCTACTTTTAACCGGATTATTCGTCCAGAATTGCTGTGCGTTGCTGACCTACAGCAGACAAGAGCTTCTGGACATCTGGACTCACAACTCCAACAGTTTTATCGCCGATCTCCGACTCATCCCAGAGATCTCCAGAACACCGGAGGCTGCCCACTCTCCCCGGCTGGGCGGAAGTGCACGCAGACGGCGCCGAGATCGTAAACAAAGGCGAGGTAGGCGCGGAGGGCTACGGGCTAAGCTAAAGCTAACACCACACCGGCTGCCTTTACCCAGTATTTTTCTCGCCAATGTCCGTTCTCTGGCAAACAAAATGGATGAGATACGGCTCTCCATCACTAACAACAGACAGATTATGGACTCAAATGTCATGTTTTTCACCGAAACATGGATGAACAACAGCTGCCCGGACAATGCTATCGAGTTAGCAGGACGCCACACACACCGAGCCGACAGGCTAGCAGATGACTCCGGCAAGACCAGAGGTGGAGGTTTGTGCATTTATATTAACAATGCTTGGTGCATGAACTCCACTACTACTGAGAGTCACTGCTCACCTAATGCGGAGTTTTTAATGGTCAAATGCAGACCTTATTATCTCCCCAGAGAACTCACTTCGATCATACTCACTGCCGTGTATATACCCCCCGACGCTAATGCTAGGTTGGCCATGAAAGAACTTTCTGCAGCCATTAACAAACACCAGAATAAACACCCCGAGGCTGCTTTTATTGTTGCTGGTGACTTCAACCACACCAACTTAAAGACAGTCCTCCCCAGATTCCACCAACATGTCTCCTGCCACACCAGAGGAGACAAGACTTTAGACCATGTGTATTCCAACCTGGCTGGAGCCTACAAAGCCACACCCCTCCCCCA